CGGTTCAGAGAACAAATAGATAAGGAAAGCTGCTTTGTCAGTTTATGCTATGTTACAAAGAGAAAGGGTCATTATATATAAAGGTTTATTTTCCTCTCAGATTCAGTTCATATCGACTGTTTGAAGAATATAAGTGCTACATAATTTGTCATAAGACGCGGCCATGGTGATTTTATTATTCACCTTTGTCCTCGGAAGTATCGTGGTGGTATATATTTATCTAACCAAAAATTATAACTATTGGCGTGACCGTAACATTCCGTGCGCGAAGGGCACACTTCCAGGATTCGGGCATACGTTGCCGTTGCTTCTCATGCGAACAACTCTGATTGATTTTCTTCAACGGATCTGCGACCCTTATTCTGATCGCGGTATGGTAGGTTTCTACCTTCAGACGACGCCTGCGTTGGTGATTCGCGAGCCGGAACTGGTAAAGACTGTCTTGCAGACCAACTTCGCAAGATTTTCCAGGAACGCATGGAAAATCGATCCGCATCTGGACCTTCTGATCGCTGCGAACCCTTTTTTCTCTTACGGCGATACATGGTTGATAGCCAGGAAACACATAGGTGTCGCATTTACTGCCAGAAACTTGAAAATCTTTTTGAACTGCATCCAGCAGGTGTGCAACAATCTTGAAAATTATCTGAACGAGAAGCTAAAGGCGAATAATAACACGATAGAACTCGAGCTATGTAGTCTAGCCAGCAGATATACTATTTCACTGGCGGGTTCTACTAGTTTCAACGTGGAAAATGTGAACTTCACAAACGAGTCAAACGGGATGTCGCTGAACAAAGTAACCAAGATGATGTTCGGGACGGATTTCATCAGTCTGTTAACGCAGAGTTTATGTTTCTACTTTCATTATTTCAAAAAAATATTAGGAATACCATATATACCCGCAGAGGCTAAGGACTTCTTTTTTGGCGTTGTAAAGGAGATAGTGCACATTAGGCTACAGGAGAAGAATACGCGTAAATTTGACTTTTTGCAATTAATGTTGGATCTGGAAGAAATCAAGGACTACAATGTGCTTACTTCGCTTGTTTTCACTTTCTTCATGAATATGCATGATACGTCGAATGTGACACTAGGCTTCGCGGCTTATCAAATTGCACGTCATCCGCATGTTCAGCAGAAACTCCACGACGAGGTGAGGACTGTCCTCGCAAAGTATGACGGCCAATTGTCCTGCTATGCGCTGAAGGAAATGACGTACATAGATCAAGTGATCAACGAATCGCTAAGACTCTATCCTCCTGTGCCCTGCTTCGGCAAGATATGCACTGAGGAATCCGAACTGAAGAGTTCGGATGGGCTCAGCTGCCGCATACATCCCGGAACAGAGATCTTCGTGAATGTCTATGAAATGCACAGAAACCCGAAATACTGGCCCAATCCGGATGTCTTTGATCCCGATCGTTTCTCCTCGGAAAGAAAGACGGAAATCGAGAAGTACACTTTTTTGCCGTTCGGTGAGGGTCCGAGAACCTGCGTGGCAATGAGAATGGCTAAGTTGCAGACGAAGGCTTATCTAGCTATGATCATGAAGAATTACATTCTGGAGTTATCGCCTAAGACGCCGGAGGAGCCTCTCGAGCTTTTGCCAGGCAGGTTTCTGACGAAATCTGTTTGTGGTTTATGGGTTCATCTTAAGCCTCTTTAATTCTCTCTTTGTGTTAGAGTAGTATTGTAGAAAATAATGAATAGATATTAATATATGCGAATAAACATATATTTACAATTACCATTCTTTATAAAAAAAAACAGATATTATGCGTTAATATTAATCATAACTTATATCACGCGTAAGTTCTTTGTAAAAGTCGATAGTTTATAGTATTTTAGATCTTTCTCTCGTAAATACATATTTTACTATTATTTCTTAAACAGTCATATATAAGAATAATTAATCAAACTTAATAAGAATCATACTTTTATTTAAGACTCAAACTTTTTTAATAGCACAATCGACTATCTCCGACAGACTCCTTGTAATCAACTTGAAATTATTTCCATACGAAGAATCTAATCGCAGCCAGTAAACAGATATTACAGAAAGCAATGCTTCATTCTCACGACATATACTTTGTATGTGTCAGCTTTTGTTATCTCTCTAGGATATACCTTGTTGCGAATATTTCATGCATCAAGATCAGAGGCATTATGACAGTCTCACACTCATTAGATGACATTTGATTGCATAATGTAACCTTGGCCACATGTCAGTTGCGCTGTGCTGCGCAGATTGCTTCAATACATACAGTGGCTGACGAAAGTATTCGAACGGTTAGATTTCTTATCTTTAGCACATAAAATATGTATGTAATATATATATGTATGTAATATATATATGTATGTAATATATATATATAATATATGTATGTAATATATGTATGTTAATCCTGAATATTTAAAACAATTTAGTGTCTACAGAAAGAAAGAAGTCCCAAAATTATGTTATTAAAATTAGAAAATAATCCAATCGCATATATAGTGTTTACGACAGATTTTCTTGAAATACGCACCAGGCATGGGTAATAAAAGTATTCGAACGCTTCGGTTTGTATCTCAATGCTGAATGTAAACATTAGCATTAAATGTAAACAAAGGAACATTCAGTTGATCACAAGACATCATTTGAGTAAGAGTAACGTACAGTTATGCAGTGTAATAATGAATATGAATAGGTAAAAGTCAGAAATACAAAACTGTGAACAAGAAATGCTATTAAAACTACGTAGAGACGGAAAATCTTATAATAAGAATACGAAAATTGTAAACAGAAGTAAATCTACAGTGCATTGCATAATGAAGAAGTTTGAAAATCAAAGAACTGTTGCCAATAAAGCTCGTTCAGGTCGTCCGAAAAAATTGACAAGCGGAGAAGAGAAAACTATAATTCGCGAAAGAAAAAAAGATCCTGCAACTTCTGCTCCCAAATTGGCAAATATAGTTGAAGAAATGTTTGATAAGCAGGTTCTTCGAGTATACCATCGATAAACACTAATTTTCCAATTCCATTAGCAGCTCCATATCATGATATTGCCAACTCCATGTTTGACTGTTCGTTTTAAACGCTTTGCTTGCAAGTTTGTATTTGGTTCTCTCCATACATAATTCCGCCCATCCGAACTGAAGACATTGAATTTAGATTCATCTGAGACTAGGACTTTGCCCTAGAAGCAATTATTTTTAGTAATATAAGTTTTTGCGAATTGCAATCTTTTTCGTCGATTTACTTTATAAATGAAAGGCTTCTTTCTTGATATTCTGCCGTGATAATTATTGTCCCACAGTAGCCGTCGGCAAATTGGGGACAACAAAAACTAACACGAAGTAGTGCGAATAAAGTTTCATCTTTTGTTACATTTCTTTATTGGCTGCATTTAATTTTTTCATGCGCGAAAATTCCGAGGTGATTAATAGGAGTCAGTTCGAGATCAAAGTTGCCGGAGTAGTGTTTACAAAAAAATATAATAATATTCTTTGAACGATGTCAGTAAACGACTATATGACCATCTCATATCCCATCTCGTATTATTGGAATAAGCGGTGTTTGATCTATATAACCTTGCGCATATATCAGTTAAACTGCACTACCGTGTGGCAACAGAAATTCCTTCAGTACGCATGTTATAATATCGATCAAAGAACAAGCGTTGTAATTCAGGTTGTAATAAAAAGAACGTTAACATTGACAATTTCTACATAACTTTAAAATACAATACAAAATACAAATTTCATTGATACAGGATAACATAGACTGACATTAATTTATCAAAGTATCTGATAATAAGTAAATTTATGAGACAAAATTTATATCGTGTTGTACATAAACATGAATGTTGTAACACTACGTAAACAATTTAATGTAATAGAAAATGAAAGTTACGCATTATACTACTTGAATAATAACTAATAAATTTATTATATAATTACATACATTGTCCCTCTTTGTAATGAGAGATGACGCATGAAAAGAAATAGACTGGTTTCAAGGTCATTAAGATTTGTATTTATTAATAAAAATATTACAAATGTTACATTTACCCATTCAAATAATAAATAATACACCGAATTTACTATTTAACATTTGCTAAATCTTCAATTAATAAAATTTGTATTAACTGATAAAACTTGTGTAGTAACATCATTCGCAATGTCGTCATGTTTGTCGTCGCTGTACAAAATGATGAATCGTCTAATCAACACTACCATCTCTGTACATTGAGCGATTATGTGTGAGAGACAGAATAATCGCAGTGGTAATAAAACGCTCAACGCCGATTCACTCAGTGTCGACTATCTGTTGAAAGAGAAAAGATATGGCTGTCGCGTTTGTATCTTTAATTCTCGGGGTTGTAATAATTCTCTACCTCTATCTGACAAAAAACTTCAAATACTGGCAAAAACGTGGAGTTCCTTGCGTGAATGGTGCTTTACCGGGAGTTGGTCATATGTGGGAGTTTGTCATTGGAAAAACTGCTTTCGCTGAATTTTGTCGCAAAATCTACCATGACAACAAGGATCACAGCATGGTCGGCTTTTACAAATTCTTGGAGCCCACATTAATGGTTCGCGAACCGGAGCTGGTGAAAACAGTAATGCAAACGAGCTTTACGCATTTTCACGACAATACGTTCAAGATCAACCCTGACCTGGATCCTCTTTTGGCAAACAATCCCTTCTTCACATACGGAGAGAAATGGGTAACCGGAAGGAAACGTCTGGCCTACGCCTTCTCCAGCATGCGACTAAAGATCTTACTCGAGAGTGTTAAGCAAGTATGTGGAGAACTGGAGAACTATTTAGATAAAAAGTTGAACAAGGTAGAGAAAGTGGAAATAGAATTGAAGGATCTCTTCGCCAAGTACACTGCCCAAGTGGTAGCGAATGCCGGTTTCAGCGCGAATGGATTCTGCTTCGACGACAAGAAAGAACACGAATCTTTCTATGAGATGAGCAAGGCCTTTCTCGAGCCATCTGCTATGAACAATATGATGTTTAACATTGTGTTCCTAATGCCTTGGTTGGGCAAAGTTCTCAGACTGAATTTTTTACCGAAGAAACTCGATCGTTTCTTTAGAAAATTGGTCACTGATGTTATGAAACAAAGAAGGACGAGCGGAATGCAAAGAAATGACTTCCTCCAATTAATGACCGAATTAGAGCGTACAGAAGATGATAAGTTCGATTTGGAGATTCTAGCGTCTTACGCGTTATCATTCTTCGTCGACGGCTACGAGACTTCCAGTAGCGCTTTGTCCTTTATTGGCTTCCATTTAGCCGTTTACCCGGAAGTGCAGAAGAAATTACGCAAAGAGGTGATGAATGTGCTGTCCAAATACAACGGCATAGTTACGTATGATGCTTTAAAGGAAATGACCTACATGGATCAAGTAATAAGCGAGTCACAGAGAATCGTACCTGTGGGTGGATTTTTGAGCAAAGATTGCACGGAAGCGTTCGAGTTGAAAGGATCCGATGGAGTCGTTTGCTCGGTGGAACCTGGGACAACTATTATAATACCCCTCCACGGCTTGCAGGAAGATTCTTGCTACTGGGAGAATCCGCACGTATTTGATCCTGATAGATTCAGCCCGGACAGGAAGCATAGCATCGAAAGATTCGCCTTTCTTCCCTTCGGCGAGGGCCCACGAATGTGCATAGGAATGAGGATGGCTCTATTGCAGATCAAAGCATGCCTCGCTGTACTCTTAAGGAAGTATAGCTTAGAGCTCTCTCCAAAGATGCAAATGCCTTTGAAATTAAAAATCTCACATTTTCTGTATGCGCCAGTGGGTGGTGCTTGGGTCTACATCCGACCAATTTAATTGCGCAAATCTTTGATTACCTGTAACTTGCTATAATAGTTTCATTTGTTACCCAATTTGTTGTCAAAATATCTTCTTCCTATAATGAGGTCTTTCGATATTGTTTACAAATAGTTTACTATATATTATTGTACGAAATGACCAAATTGTCTTACACAACGATCGTATAACATTTCAGTCGTATAAATCTTAAAGGCAACTCACATACGATAAATTATATTTAATGGAAAATAAAAGGGAGAGAAATATTGTATGTTTATTCGAAAAGTAGCAAGATTTCGGTATTTATATCTTATTAATTACACATTCTATTATTCCACCATATTATAGTAATATTATTATAATAAAAAAGCGCCAACGTTTTAAGAAAAAACATTACGTTAGTTGTAATAATGAGACATACAGCGTGCAGGTCTTTTAATGTAAATCACTTATGCACTATGCATTTATACAATGCATTTATACGATATTATGCAAAATATTGTTATATATATAATAACAAGGTTGGGGTTTTACGATATTACTGAGAAAATTAATAATAGGAGACAATATATAAAACATAATATTTCAGGAATGCAAAAAAAGAGAAGGAAGAAAAGAGGAATTTTGAGCTTTATTTTTGTTGTGAGTTTATTTTTGTGGTTGCCCATAATAATAAATCCAAACACACACTTATTACTTGTACATATATATATCGTAATCATTAATTTACAAGTATGTTCATTATATATTGAAAATTTATAATTTTTGTTTTAAGAAAGAGAAAGAGAGACTTCAACCTCCCATATAAAATTATTCGAATATCAGTATTTTTTAATGTTTACATTCGAATATATCCAAACACAATTTAAATATATAAACTTGATATCCAATCAAGCTATGTACGAACGTTCTAATCTAAATTCTAAAGAAAATTCTAATTTAAATTCTAATTCTAAAGATATATATTATAGCTTCTAAAACGTATGTTCTTCGAACGCTACCACTTTGTTTAAATATAACCAAACCAAATGAACGTAAAGCGAACGTTCCTCGAACGTTTACGTGCTGCTTGGGAAGATCTTAAAATATTCTATGACCTATGAATATCTTATACAAAATGATGTATTGTCTCGTAATATTCGAATTATTTCACATAGAGATTAAAGTTTTTTAAACAAAAATGCTAAAAGCATCATTAATATATTTGTAAAGTAACGATTGCTATATAATAATATAATTTTTGTAATTATAATATTTTTTGCTTATATTGGCTTATTTTTTATAAAATTAATCTATATCAAAATTTACAGTTATTTTGAAAAAATTATAGAATTCAAAGTAAAAATATTTTATTAAGTAATAGTTTAATATTAAGAACTATTTTACAAAATATAACAATCAAATATAATGAGGTTATATAAAATTCGACATGAAATGTACGCAACAGAACACGTGCTAAAACATGTGATATTACATGTTTACTACGTGATGAAACATGTGATATTATAAGCGACGTTGATATGACATGTATAAGGTTACACAACATATGAATATCTAACAGCGAGTCTTCTTTAATTATATTAATTTGCGAACCTAATATTTTAGACAGAAGTTAAACATGTTTATAAATGTCAAACATTTTTATAAATGATGATAGTAAAATGATAGTAAAAATATGTTATATATCTTATTTAAAGAGAGAGAATTGTCTTAATTATTTTGATTTTCTAATATAAACCTGTCTCAGAAATAACAATTTATGTATACCATATTTTTTATTAAATATAATATTATTACAAATACATTACCATTCTTTTACCATTCTTTTATACAGGGTGATTCATAAATGCATGTTAATATTTCAAAAGGTAAGTATACACACTAAAATAAGTAAAAAAACGTCATATGAATATATATCTCATATATCTTAGTTTTTGAGTTATGAATGATTAAAAAAAATGTTCGAAATGCCCGCCTCGTGCATCAACACATGCTTTAGCACTGACTTCTGTACTCTATTTTCATAAATATTATTCGTTTTATTTTGATCTGAAATAAATGGGAGTAAAAGTTTTGGTACAATTAGTTGTTTAGGCATTCGATAAAATTTTCATCCGCAATCTCTCTTCTGAGTCCTACTGTTTCTTTGCAGAAACGTGGCAACCTCTTTCATATACTTTTGGTGTCATTTGCCATAAACCGGGATAAACAAAGTCTTGATAAAGTTCGTTATCTATAACGTAGTTTTTGTGGTTATCTTATAGTTCAAACTTAACCTGATAATAACATTATATCTTTTTATTGATAATTAATCTTTACTAAACAAGCGACATTGATATGACATGTATAAAGATACATAACATGAAGAAAGACTTGCTATTATATAACATATATAACAGCAAGTCTTTCCTTAATAGACCGACAATCATTAAGATATATTTCTTAAGAGAAAATAGTTGACGTTCACTTTTTCGTGCTATAATCATGGGCATATTGTTGATTTTGTTATTCAGTGTAATATTAGTGTTTTACTTCTATCTGACGCGAAATTACAATTACTGGAGCGACCGAAACATTCCATGTGCTAAGGGCATCATTCCCGGATTCGGCAACATACGGTTTTTTGCGTCTTTGAAAATGAATTTTTCCGACGTTACTTGACAGATCTACAAGAGTTATCCGAACAGCAGCATGATTGGTTTCTACAAGACTACACCTACACTAATGATACGAAAGATGATAAGAGGAATTAATAAAAACGGTGATGCAGACGAATTTCGTGCATTTCTCTGTTAACATGTGGGAACTCAATCTTCACGTAGATCCTCACCTGACTTCGAGTCCCTTTTTCTCTTCTGGTGAAATGTGGTTTTCATCCAGAAAATATTTGACTTCTGCGTCCTCCAGCATGAGGTTCAAAATTCTGTTCAGCTGCATTGAACAGAACTGCAAGAAGTTCGAAAATTTCGTGGAACAGGGGTTAATGAAAAATAATGGTGTGATGGAGTACGAGCTGAAAAATCTATTCTACAAGTACATCAACGAAGTGGGAAGATCCGCCACTTTCAGCGTGGATGGTTGTTACTTCGTAAACAAGTCACATCCGTCGTCTTTTGCCGCTATCAGCAAAGCGATAATTGGAACGAGCTTCCATGACATGATTTCCGAGGCTCTCAACTTCCACTTTCAAGATCTTAATAAAATATTCCGGATATCATTCATATCTAAAGATACGGATCGTTTTTTTCGCCACAGTATGCAGAAGGTAATGAGTATGCGACAGTACGGGGACGATCATCTTCTCACCTTCTTCGTGAATGTCTATGAGACAACTTGCGTTACCATGAGTTTTTTCAGGATATTCGATTGCCCGGCGTCCATAGATACAGCAGAAGTTTCGCAATGAAGTGGTGACCGTGCTCGCAAAATACAATAATCAACTGAGCTTCGAGGCCATGAACGAAATTACTTATTTAGATCAGATAATCGACGAATCGCATAGACATTAGCCTACAGTGATCATATATAAACATGTATATTTTAATATATAATTATATATTTTTATATATATGAACATATTTTATATACAAGGTGTTTCATTTTAATTGCCCCAAGTTAATGAGCAAAGAAATCTATCAGTGTTAAAAAAAATTATATGATACTATTTGAAAAAATAAAGTTGACCTCGAAATGATCTTGAACAACGTCACCTCCGATAAGACAAAGGTCATCATTCGATGTCCCGTCTCTAAACCATATGATATTTATATTAAACATTTTTCACTAGAATAATTTCCTTCTGCAATATTAGACTGGGACATTTAAAATAAAATTCCCCGTGTAATTATATATGAAAAAATTTTTAACGGAAACATTAGTCCTTCTTTGCTATAATATATAACTTAAGATCATATGATAAAACAAAATACGCACAATAAAGATATATATAAATATAAGAATACATATTTTTCGTATAGAATGGTAAAATTAAACGGAATATATAAAAAAAAGATACAAGTTCAGAAATATGATATTCCGTGAACAAGTACACAATATTATGTCGAATTTTCTCAAGTTAAATTTATTGTACCTAAATTATCTATAGAATCGGACCCATCTCACATATTACCCATAACAACTTACCTATCTAATATACCATATAATTATCGTCTAAGATAAAAAAAGTAAATGATATTTTAAAGAAACGTTTTTCGTACGAAAGAGTTTACTGTCTTTCCCCGGGCCTCTGTAAATAACATGTGAGCAGTATTGAAAAATTTTATTACATCGTATTACTGACGAGAACTATTTCGACGAATAACAAATAAAATAGTTACAAAAAGATACAGGTCCGATTAAATCGGTCGGATCAAAGCCCAAGTACCACCCACTGGCGCATTTAGGAAAGGTGTACATCTTAACTTCAAGGGCATCTGCATCTTTGGAGATAGTTCCAAGCTATACTTTCTCAATAACACAGCGAGACACGCTTTTATCTGCAACAAAGCCATTCTCATTCCTACGCACATTCGCGGGCCTTCACCGAAGGGAAGAAAGGCGAATCTCTCAATGCTGTGTTTCTTATCCAAATTGAATCTCTCAGGGTCAAACACGAGCGGATTCTCCCAATAGCAAGGATCTTCTTGTAAACCGTGGACAGGGATTAAAATGCTTGTTCCAGATTCCACCGAGCAAACGACTCCGTCGGATCCTTTCAGCTCGATCTCGTCCGTGCAAATTCTGCTCATGAATCCAATTGCAGGTATGATTCTCTGAGACTCGCTTATTACTTGATCCATGTAAGTCATTTCCCTCAAGGCTTCGTATGTAAGTATACCGTTGTGTTTGGACAGCACAGACATTACCTCTTTGCGTAATTTCTTCTGCACTACTGGATTAGCGGCTAATTGGAAGCCAACGAAGCTCAAAACGGTGCTGGAAGTTTCGTAGCCATCGAGGAAGAAAGACATTGCGTGAGAGACCAAGATTTCTAGGTCGAGTTTATTACCTTCTGCGCGGTCCAATTCAATCATCAATTGGAGAAAGTCGTTTCTTTGTGTCCCACTGGTCCTCCTTTGCTCCATAATATCGGTGACCAAAGTTCTAAAGAAACGATCGATTTTCTTCGGTATAAATCTCACTCTGAAAACTTTGCCAAACCAAGGTATCAGAAACGCGATGGTAAAAATAATATTGTCCACAAAAGACCGGTCGAGGAAGGACTTGCCCATCTCGTAGAAAGACTCTTGCTGTTTTTTGTCGTCGAAACAGAATCCATTCACGCCGAAACCAGCGTTCGCTACCACTTGAGCGGTGTACTTAGCGAACAGTTCTTTTAGTTCCATCTCTACCTCTCCCGTCTTATCCAACTTTTTATCTAAAAAGTTCTCAAATTCCTCGCATACTTGCTTAACGCTCTCGAGTAGGATCTTCAACCGCATGCTGGAGAAGGCATAGGTCAGACGTTTCCTTCCGGTTACCCATTTCTCTCCGTATGTGAAGAAGGGATTGTTTGCCAAAAGAGGATCCAAATCAGGATCAATTTTGACTCCATTCTCGTGAAAATTCGTAAAGCTCGTTTGCAGCACCGTTTTCACCAGTTCCGGTTCGCGTATCATCAATGTGGGTGTCATGAAATTGTAGAAGCCGACCATGCTGCAATCCTTATTGTCATGGTAGATTTTGCGACAAATTTCAGAGAAGCTAATTTTTCCAATGATCAACTCCCACATATGACCAATTCCTAGCAAAGCACCATTTGCGCAATGAATTCCAACGTTTTGCCAATATTTGGTGTTCTTTTTTAAGTAGAAGTAGAGAATTATCACTGTTCCGAGAATTAAAGACACGAACGTGGTAAACATCTCTGCTCTCTTTCAATAGACGGTCGGCACTGAGCATCCGAGTGACTCTTGCCACGGTGATTACTCTATCTCTCACAAATAACTGCGATATAAAAGGATGTTGGTATTAGTTAATGCACAATAATCTGCACGACGTCAATGACGACGTCAATGACGAGTGTAGTGGTATTACGAGCGATGCCACTGCACGTTTTATTCACTAATTTATTATTGAATGGAAGTTTTATTAATTATAGGTTTAAAATAAATGTTAAATGTAAAATTTGGCATACTGTTCATCATGCGAATGGATAAATATAGTATTTGTTATATTTGTATTAGTTGCAAATTCTCTTAATCGCATCGACATTGAAACTAGATTATTTTTTGTCATGCGTCACTCCACTACAAAGAACTGTAATTGCATAATATGTTCACTGGTCACTATCCAATTGGATAATACGAGACCTATATTTCACATTGCATTAAACTATCTATCTGAGTACTACGTTAGCAACGCAATATAAATTATTTCTTATAAGTTTATTTATTATCAATTTATTATCAGTTTATTATCAATCACTTTTTTAATAAATTAATTTGTTTATGTTGTACTAGTAACATTTGGACACGGCTTGCTGGCTTATTCTTTGATCGATGTTATACGCGCACTGAAGCGATCTCTGTCGACACTTTGTTGCACGGTGTTGACATATGCAGGTCAAGATTATATAAGAGATTTAATGTATGTTATCTAATGGGTGTGAAACTGGTGTAAA